TGCAGGAGCATGGATGGAGCTTGAGGCCATTATCCTTAGCAAACTAATGCAGGAACAGAAAACCAAATAGTGCCTGTTCTCACCTATAAGTGGGAACTAAATGATGGGCATGCATGGATGCATAGAGGAGAACAGTGGACACTGGGGCCTACTGGAGGGTGGAGGGTGGGAGAAGGTAGAGAAGCAGAAAAAATAACTATTGGGTACTAGGCTTAGTACCTGAGTGACAAAATAATCTGTGCATCAAACCCCCGTAACACATGTTTACCTATGTAACAAACTTGCACATGTACCCCTAAACCTAAAATAAAAGTTAAAAATAAAAGAACACCAACTCTGCAAGCAGACTGGTTTTCAATCCCAGCTCCCAAATTTACTGTCTGTGTGACCTTGGGCAACTTGCTTCTCTGTGCCTCAGTTTTCTCAACTGGAATATGGGGATAATCATATAGTTGATGTGAGAATTAAACCAGCATCTGGTGGTATATAAGGGCTACTCACTCTTATTTAGCCATCACTGCTCTTCTTTTAAAAGCAAGTAAAAACAGGGGCTTACAATTTAGTTGGGGGTGGTGGGCAGGTTAATAAGGACAGTTCATACGAATGTCTCTTCTATAAATCTGATTCCTTTTGCTTTTGCTGTTTAAGCAGGACATAGCTTACATAGAACATATAACAGGAGAAATATTTACTGAAGCACTCTGCCAAGTACTTACTTAATTAATCCTCCAAAAACTTGATGAGATAGATATCATTATCCCCATTTTGCAGATGAGGAAACCAAGCTGGGAAGCCTTAATTAACTTGCCCACAGTTCCACAGCTAGTAAGTTGTAGGGCAATGATTTGAACTCGAGTCTCATTCTAATTCTTAAGCCTTTTTGCTACACTATGAAGCACCTAGAGAGTTTCAAAACCAGTTACCCACAGCTTTTAACCCACGATTAAAACTGTTGATGTGTAGGGCAAACCATTCCCCTGCTAGCCATCCTCAAAACCCCAACCAGCTGACTTACCAAGAAGCCAGAAGGTAGTGTCACTAGAGAAGGTCACAGAGGCTGGGTGTGGTGGCTCGTGTCTATAATCCCAGCACTTTGGGAGACTGAGGCGGATTGATCACCTAAGGTCAGGAGTTCAAGACCAGTCTGATCAACATGGTGAAACCCCGGCTCTACTAAAAATACAAAAATTATCTGGGCATGGTGACGTGTGCCTGTAATCCCAGCTACTCAGGAGGCTGAGGCAGGAGAATCACTAGAACTCAGGAGGTGGAGGTTGCAGTGAGCCAAGATCGTGCCACTGTACTCCAGCCTGGGTGACAGCAAGACTCCATGTCAAAAAAAAAAAAAAAGAGAGAGAGAGAGAGAGGTCACAGAAATACTAGGAAAATTTTAGTTGACATCAACCATCTTTTTAAATCTCTCAGGCTGTGCCCAAGCTCTGGGAGATCTGGTAAATCCTTAGCTAACTTGGGACACCTGGCTTCAGGGATTCACAGGAATATGTCAGATTCCGGTGTGTTTATTACACATTTACTGGGCTCCCACAGACTCCCTCCTGTAGCTCCTATTCGCTAACCAGGCAGAATGAGTTTGGGGCTAATCCATCCATTTATCAAATGGTATCGCCTAAATTTGTACCAGGCAGATGCTGTGTAGATTTTTTTCTCTTCATTGGGTATTCAGCAATGGGAAGAATTTTGAGGTCTGGGTCCATGGTTGTTCAGAAGGCCCCACTCCCCAGAAGCATGACAGAGAGGCTTAGGGAAGAGTGACTTCTCTGTGACTTAAAGAAACTTGTAGCCAGATTTGGATAATGTCCAAGACTTTACAACTAATCTCCTCCTTTTCTCTCTTGGATGCAATCAACCAAAGGGTGTTTAGAAATGTGTTAATAATTCCCAGGAGAAATTGGCCAGGATTACCTAGTCATGACTAATGAAGCTGTCATCTGCCATTCCTTCCTGCTGTTTAATAATGCCTTCTAAAGAGTGCTTTATGAAGATGGATAGTATTGTAATGCTGCGCCCAAGAAACTGGCACAATGTCAGTGAGAACAGAGGCCAGCTTATTTTGCATGCCACTCTATTTTTCATTACTCTCCACAATAACTTATTAAATGAAAATGAATTTGCCATTAGGGACTAGGTACTATTTAATAACTGTTCAGTAATGTTTCATGATTTAATTTCTTTTTTGTAACGAGTGCAGCAGCCATGTGAGTAAATGTCATTCTGGATTAAATGAGGTTGAATTTTCTGGAACAATCATAAATATTTCGTGGAACTTGGTCATTAAAACTGGATGTGGTTTGAAGCTTGGTTTGCGAAACTCTGACTTTGAATTGACCATCTTAAAACTAGGAAGAGTGGGGAAGAAAACGACATGGAATGAGACGTTAAAAGCAAGCATGGTGTCTTAAAGGGACTTCCTATAGGGGGTAGGGGACTTTCCGGATGGCAGTCTCCTCCATAGCCTCTCCAAAGAATATGTCTCAATCAAGATGGTCAATGCTATTTTGGAATAACAGATAAACCCCAAATTTTAGTGGCTTAAAATGATAAAGGTTTGTTTCTCGCTTGTGCTACACATCCAGTGCAGGGCTGTAGTCTGCATGGGTTATCTTGAAAGCCAGGCTGATCAAGCACCCACTATCTGGAATGATGACAGAAAGAGCTCTGAAGGGTGTCAGATCAGCCATTAAGAGCTTGATCTTCAACTGATCCTGTGACCCCAACCCAAGAAGTGGGAGAGGACCAAGAATTCAATTTTACTGTGTACTCGAATGGCAGAAATAGCACATCTAGTGATCAGTCCTACTGGGTACTAATGTGAGATCAAAATAAGGAGTTCAATAGAAATCTAAAGGTTGAAAAGTGCCTCTTGCATTCTGAGAAATCTCTGCTTTCTCAACCTCATCTTTTCACTGTGGTCACAGACATCCAGGCAGCCTTGCTTCTTTCCTGAAAGCAGGACATTCCCATGGTCCCTCCTCTTCAAGGAATCAGTCAGCCCAGGACTTGCTGACACCACATGATCTCTCACTTCAATTCATGTCAATCTGGTTATATACTTGAAAATTACCAGGGTGTTTATGAGTTATCAGTATCATTAAAGCTCAGATGCATGTAGATAATTAACAACCTTTCCCTTTCCATGTATAAATCCAAAGTTGATATTGAATTTATGCTATTTAACATAAAATTTCCTCACATTTTTAAAACAAATTGTATAAGGACTGAATTGCTGCACTAAGTATTGCCTGCTTTTCAAAGACTGAGATCACATGATTTATATGTAACATTTTTTTTTTTTTTAGATAGAGTCTCTGTTGCCCAGGCTGGAGTATGGTGGTATAATCTCAGCTCACTGCAACTTCGGCCTCCAGGATTCAAGCAATTCTACTGCCTCAGACTCCTGAGTAGCTGGGATTACAGGTGCATGTCACCATGCCCAGCTAATTTTTGTATTTTTAGTAGAGATGGGGTTTCACCATCTTGACCAGGCTGGTCTTGAACTCCCAACTTCAAGTAATCAGCCTTCCTCAGTCAACCAAAATACTGGGATTATAGGCATGAGTCACCACGCCTGTAATAGTTTTCTACACAGCCATGGTGTGTGTGTGTAGTATGCATGTATGTTTTCATCCATGGATTCTGGCTCATAACTCCTGTAGCCCTTGTTAGTCTTTTGTTATAATGTTGGGGTGCTGTAGGCCTCAACAGAGGCCTCAGGAAACAGAATCTCTCTCTCTCTGACCTTCCCCTGTCCTCCTTCATCTGCCTAGGGCAGGACTTGAAATTGATTGTGGATCAGAAGCCCCTCATTCCAGAGGGTTCCGGCCCCATACCATAGAGGAAGAAAGGCTGCACAGAGAGGCCAAGAAAAGCCTAAACACACAGGCCTTGCTGGGTTTAGATTATGTGCTTTTTGTCCAACCACATTTCTACATGGTTGTCAATCACACCTACGTAATGAAGTCTCCATAAAACCCCACGATGACAGGGTATGAAAAGTTTCAGGATAGCTGAACTCAGGGAGGTTCCTGGAGGGTGGGAGGCCCTAGTGGGGGATGAAAGCTCTATGACTCTTTCCCCATACCTTACTCTACGCATCTCTTCATCTGTATCCTTTGTAATATCCTTTATAATAAACCAGTAAACATGTTTCCCCAGGTTCCATGAGCGACTCCAGCAAATTAATCAAACCCAAAGAGGGAATTGTGTAAACCACAACTTGAAGCCAGTCAGTCAGAAGTTCTGGAGGCCTGGACTTGTAACTGGTGTCTGGAGGTGGCAGGCTGGGGGCAGTTTTGGGAACTGAGCTCTCACTCTGTGGGATCTGATGCTACTTCCAGCATCAATATATCTGCTGCTTGATGTATGGGAAAAAAAACCCATGCCTTTGGTCGGAGAAGCTTTCTTCTTTGCTGCTGGTTGTGGTGGTGGTGTGAGAGAAGAGGAAAAACACAGTTTGAAGAGTTTTCCCCAAATAACTGAGGATGGTGAATATAAAAGAACTCCCATAATTTAAGGGACCTATTAAGTATTCTGTGTGTATAAGGACTGAATTGCTGCACTAAGTACTTTCTATTAAGTATTGTGTGGTACTTTGTATTAAAAGCGATCCTCACTGAATTGTGAAATTAAAGCCTAAGTGTATCCTTAGAGAAGAGCAACTATTTCCAAACCATATTATTAGAGGCTTCCTTATTATATTAGGCTGGGTTCCCCCAGAAGCACACCCCAAGACAGAATGAGTACGAGTGGTTGATTCAGGAAGTGATCCCAGGAAGTCAGGGAGGGGGATGGGACGGTGAGCCAAGACAGGGCACATTTGTGAGAAGGAGACCATTGTGGGCAGCTGGAGCCCAGGCTTATTGGCAACTGATAACTGCTACAGGGTGGAGGTATCCTACCCGAGGGGCGAGGCAGCCAGGGTGTGTATACTGTAATCCTCATTCATCATTGAGTGAGAACTGTCACCTCAGTCAGAAGGGACCATGGGAATCATGGAAGAGTTGCTCCCAAATCTCCATGGAGAAGTAGGTCTGTGGAGCAAAGGGGTAGACTGTGGTGGCTATGAGAATACTCCTCACAAACCTCCAACCTCAGGGAACATCATGGATTAAGGGCCCCAACAGATGCTCCCTGAAACCAGTGTGCTAAGGCAGACCCTTTCCTGGAAAATGACAGCAAATTGTGCTTAAAGGCTCTCCAGGGACCTTGCCAAACTGCCCTTAGACTGGACAGGTGTCTAGAATGCTTCTGCACACCTTCTCTCCTTTACCGGAAAATCAGATTTGCATTGCAGTCAATGGCTCTCTCAGTCTACTCCAGATCCCTCCTCACTTTCTCTTACATGAGCATTTTCCCTAATAAAATCTTGCATATTTAATTCTATCTTGGTGTCTGCCTCTAGAGGACTCAGACTAACAAAGACAGTGAGTGTAGTGAAGTAGAAGCACTCTCTATATAGTACTGAATACAAATAACATGGATGGTGTGATGATGTGATGGTTAATTTTATGTGTCGGTTTGACTGAGCCATGGCGTGCTCAGATATTTGGTCAAATATTGCTCTGGGTGTGTCTGCAAGGATATTTTGGATGAGATTAACATTTAAATTAGTAGACTGTGTAGATTACTCTCTCTAATATGGGTGGGCCTCATTCATTCAGTTGAAGGCCTGAAAAGAACAAAAAGAGAGAATTCTTCAGCCTGACTACCTTCAAACTGGTACGTCACCATTTTTACTGTCTTCAGACTCAAACTGAGCTATTTGCTCTTCCTGGTTCTCAAGGCTGTCAACTCACCCTGCAGGTCTTGGGACTTGCTTGCTTCCATAACCACCTAAGCCAATTCCTTATAATCTCTCTCTTTCAATCTCATGATTTTATGTGTGTGTATGTGTGTGTGTGTGCACGCGCACACGCGTATAATCTATTAAATTACATTATTTGATGTAAAGAGATTTATGAGGATGTTTATTATGATTTATACACACATGTATGTATGTGTGTGTGTATATATATATATACATATTTGTATATTCATGTAAGGGCTCAGTAGGCTCAGAAATGTCAATTCTTATATTCTACAAAAAACGTGTTTGGAATCTGTTGAATCAAAACTCATGTTCCATTTTGTGATATGAAATGGCTCATCACAAAGCATTTTCAAAGACAATTCTTACTAGTTTTTAGGGCTTGATATTTGTATGTTTGTGTAAAGGCTCAATAGGTTTATGTAGGCTCAGAACATAACATATATATTCTGCTTCCTTGGAGAACATTGACTAACATAATAGGTAGATGGGCGGATGGAAAGTTGGATAGATGGATGGATGGATGGGTTGATGGGTGGATGGGTTGGTGTGTGGATGAATAAATAAAAGGTCATGAAGGGGAATATCTCCATAGTTCAGGATCATCAGGGAAAGCTTCCCTGCGAAGGAAGGACTTGAACTTGAAGAAGGACAGGAGACAAGGAGGAGAACATTGGTGAGTTGGAGGTAGAGGAAAGAAATCATGAACAGCGACGCTAAGAGGAGGCAGACTCAAGTTATTTGGGGGACAGTGAACAAACCAGTATGGTTGGATCCATGAGTCTGTAAATAGGAAGTGTGAGTTATATTTAATGAGATAAGGAGGTTGAGATTTGAAACCAGTTTGCTTCCCTATAGGGTATGGTCCCACACCATTCCCTTAACTTCCAGGTGAATACCTTTGATCAAAGAAAAAGATGTGTTTACTCTTTTCCAAAAATATTTTAAAGTGCAATTCCTTCAAGAGGTATGGAGGCCACCTCCTCAGGAAAGAATTCCCTGTGTAACCCTGTGTAACATAGGAACTCTCATTATGTTCTGTCTTAGCACCCAACTTCCTTCCTTCTCACCATTGCTCATAATGTGCACATATTTATTTGTGTGCTCATTCACTGACTGTTTTCCCCACTCATCTGTCAGTTCCATCTAGATAGAGACCTGCACTATTCACCCTAGCACAGTGCCTGGTTGACTGGATGAAATCCGGCAGTTAGAAATGTGAGTGGGCTGGGCACGATAGCTCACACCTGTAATCCTAGCACTTTGGGAGGCTGAGGTGAGTGGATCACTTGAGGTCAGGAGTTCAAGAACAGCCTGACCAACATGATGAAATTCCATCTCTACTAAAAATACAAAAATTAGCCAGGTGTGGTGATGTATGCCTGTATTCCCAGCTGCCTGGGGGGCTGAGGCAGAAGAATCACTTGAACCCAGAAGCCAGAGGTTGCAGTGAGCCAAGATTGCGCCACTGCACTCCAGCCTGGGCAAGAGAGTGAGACTTCATCTCAAAGAAAAAAAAAGTGAGATTTAAGCTTGTATCCTAGCCCCATGAATGACTAATAGCTTGACCTTGGGCAAGTAACTTTGGCTTCAGTGTCTTTATCTGCAAAATGAATTGTAATGCCTCACAGAACTACCATGAACATTAAATAGAATGGTTTATGTAAAGCACAGTGCCTGGTACCTGGTAAGCGTTCAATAAAAGATTGCAATTGTTTGTTATTACACCTCAACACTGCTTGGTGTCATTTTTCTGCAGGGCGAAATTGCCTCTGACCCATTAATTATATTGAAAAAGAAGTTTAATTGCTTGAATCATCACATCTGGATCAATGGCTCCTTGTACTTTTTGGTGATAGTAAATAGCCCTTATTTACTTCAAAAAATTGTTAGATCCCTCCAACATGATAATAATTGTGTATTTTTTTTTTTTTTTTTGAGACGGAGTTTCGCTCTTGTTACTCAGGCTGGAGTGCAATGGCGCGATCTCGGCTCACCGCAATCTCCGCCTCCTGGGTTCAGGCAATTCTCCTGCCTCAGCCTCCCGAGAAGCTGGGATTACAGGCACGCACCACCGTGCCCAGCTAATTTTTTTGTAATTTTAGTAGAGACGGGGTTTCACCATGTTGACCAAGATGGTCTCGATCTGTTGACCTCGTGATCCACCCGCCTCGGCCTCCCAAAGTGCTGGAATTACAGGCTTGAGCCACCGCGCCCGGCCCAATAATTGTGTATTTTTAAAACTCTGATTAAAATACATATAAGACCAAAAATCTCTCTAAACTCAATAATACTTTAAATGTACTTTATTGGCCTTAACAGGACTGATGTGTATCTTAAAAATAGCAGGATGGGATGGGTACCGTGGTTCAATGTGTATAATCTCAGTGCTTTGGGAGGTCAGGGTAGAAGGACTGTTTGGGGCTAGGAGTTCTAGACCAGCCTGGGCAACCTAGGCAGATCCTATCTCTATGAAAAGTTTTTTTTTTTTTTAAATAGCCAGGTATGGCAGTACATGCCTATAGTTCTAGAGTTTTTGGAGGCTGAGGTGGGAGGATCGCTTGAGCCCTCAAATTTAAGCTTGCTGTAGTAGTCCACTTTCATGCTGCCAATAAAGACATATCTGATACTGGGCAATTTACAAAAGAAAGAGATTTATTGGACCTACAGTTCCACATGACTGGGGCTGCCTCACAGTCATGGTGGAAGGCGAGGAGAAGCAAATCACATCTTTCATGGATGGTTGCAGGCTGAGAGAGAGCTTGTACAGTGAAACTCCCATTTTTAAAGCCATCAGATCTTGTGAGACATTCACTATGTTCAGAACAGCATGGGAAAGACCTGCCCCCATGATTCAATCAATCACCTCCCACGGGGTTCCTCCCAAGACACATGGGAATTGCGGAGGAATTATTATATCAGATGAGATTTAGGTGGGGACAATTCAGATGAGATTTGTGTGGGACACAGCCAAACCACATCAGTTGCCATCAGCTGTGATTGCACCACTGGACTCCAGCCTAGGCAACAGAGTGAGATTCTGTCTTTCAAAAATAAAAAGGTAGCAGGACAGTACATCTGTGAGACAGAGCCTTTATTCAACCAGAGACAATGTTTGGTGGGCATTTGGGTTCAAGATCCCATAGGCTTACCTCCAGGGCCATCCTGGGATCTGAGGCCCAGTGGGGTGGAAACACTGATTTTGTTGAGTAACTGTGCAAGTCAGAAAAAAACCTCACCTTTTCCTCCTTGTGGGCTTGAAGTATTTTTCCCTCTCATCCTTCCAACAGGGCAGCCCTGCTCAGACAGATGTGTGCCCATCTGAGACTTCCCTGAGCCATCTCCTTTACAGGGGCTGCCTGTCCACACACATCAGTCATTTGCTCTTTTCTATACCCAAGCATGAATATGTGACTGTGACTTCACATTACTTCATTCTCAGAACCATATTTCTGAGTGCATTGGCCAGAAAGATGAAAACCCTGAGGAGACCACACACGAGCATAACCTGGAGAAGTGGAAATATGGTCACTGCCACAAGAAAAGCCTGTTGTGAGAATGAAAGGCCAGAGCTGTGATTCTGGCTGTGGTCCCCAAACCCAGGGGACCCATCCAGAGAGAGTTCGTGGGCCTGTGTGCCTATGAGACTTTAATTCCACCATCTCTCAGGAATAACATCCCCATTGGTACAAAGGCCACTGGAGAAAGCAAGGCAAATCCAGCAGCAAGTTCACAGTCCTTCAGGTGAGGTGGTTCACTCCTCTAGAATCCAGAGCAGGAATTGGCTTCTCGGTGTCTTTAGAGGGCATTTCTTCCAGAATCTGACGTCTACAAAGCGGGGCTGAGATGTAATTTGTCCACATCCTCAACAGGCAGCCACTCAAATCAGAAAGATCACCAATGCTCCAAACACATAAAAGGCAAGGAGCCCAAAATGACAGACGACAGAGATCCTCATCTGTGTGACATGCATGAAGACCGGGAGGAAGAAACAACTCATCTTGACCTCTGCTCATTCATTTATTTCCTCAGCAAGCTTTGATCACACCCCTATATTGTATCATACGTTGCAAGCTAGGCATTTTATTTTTCATGAGTAAAACAGAATCCCTGTTTTTATGAAGCTGGCTTTCTATGGAGAGACAGATAGATTATTAGTCAAACAATGACACAAACACATGCAAAATTGGAAAACTGACAAGTGACACAAAGGAGAGGTGCATGATGCTCAGAGAGTCATACTGTAGGGTGTTGACTAGGGAGGGAGAAGAGGGAAGGCTCCTGAGGAATGGAGGCAGGAGTGGAGAGGACAGTAAAGAGGTTTCCAAAAAGGGAACAGCACATGCAAAGGCCCAGTGGTGGGCAGAATTCTGTGAGGAGAAAAGAAAGAGAAGAGATCAGCGTGGCTGCTGTCCTCAGAGCGAGGGAACAAGGGAGCTGGAAACAGGCAAAGAGCAGACTAGCAGGACCTTTGAGAGTGAGTTAGGGAATCTTGTCCATATAGTTTGGTTCCCTGGGATGAGGGCGAGGTGACATGAATAGATCTGCTGCTGTAATAATGCCACATGAAAAACAGATGGAGAAGCAGAGGCCAGGATGGATATAACCAAACCACTGAGGAGGCTACGATAGGATCCAGTGAGAGTTGATGGTAAGTTTTTGTTTTTTGTTTTTGGAGACAAGCTCCTGCTTTGTCACCCAGGCTGGAGTGCAGTGGCACAATCTCAGATCACTGCAAACTCCACCTCCTGGGTTCAAGTGATCCTCCTGCCTCAGCCTCCCAAGTAGTTGGGATTACAGGCATGTAACACCACACCCAGCTAATTTTTGTATTTTTAGTAGAGAGGGGCTTTCACCAGGTTGGTCAGGCTGGTCTCAAACTCCTGACCTCAAGTGATCCACCCACCTTGGCCTCCCAAAGTGCTGGGATTACAGGCATGAGCCACCACGCTTAGTCAAGATGATGGCAATTTGAACTTCTGTGGCAATGTGGATGATGGGAGAGATATCTAGCAGGTAAAATTAGTGGGTGGTAGAATGGACGTGCAGGCTGAGGGTCAGGGAGGTGACAAGAACGTCTCCTAGATTCCCGGCTTGCACAGCCGGATGTATGGAAGGACCATGCACTAACATAGGAAGCACATGGACGACATTGTCAGAAGAGAACACCTTCGCCATCCAGTCACTCTCTTTGTCTACATGTCACTCATTCTGTCAGTTTATTGGTATAATTCCCCAGCCCACTCACTAAATTGATAGACTCTGGAGCAGCACTCATTTGACCAGATGCCATGGTACCACATAAATGGTCCCCTGGATGCCAAGTGATGAAAAGGAAGGAACACAGATGTTGAAGTCAGAGAGTTATAGTTGCAAAGCTCAGCATCCTGGTTACCATGAGATCACAGTTCTTATTTTGCTAAACCTCAGGTTCCTCAACTGTAAAATAAAGAAAATAAAACTTACCCTGTGTGCGTGCTTTAAGATTCCAGGAGTTATTGCACAGAAACTGCGAAGTGCAGGTGCTGTTCATGCACTTCTGAAAAATCTAAGAGAAGTTGCTCTGTTTGCTGTGTGAGTGCAATGATTCTCCATGAAGGCAGTACAGTAAATCGATACACTGGATGGCAAGAAGGTAGACTTTGGTGAAGAATGCCTTTTGCAGAGCGCTATAGGTGTGAAAATCAGGAATGAAGGGTGGGAGGCAGGAGGCCACAGGCATCTGAGAGGAGTCTGAATATATCAATGAATCCAAAGGAGTTTTCTCAACCATGGCCATAACCCCAAAGAGATAAACTAAGTTTATTAATTAGCATTTGCAATTGTAGCCTGAAGTCTAAGAAATTTTTTAGTTAATTAACACTTGTTGGGGATTGGATATGATGTACTTAAGGAAAAAAACACAAATTTTTATGATAGAAAATGTACAAAATTCATAAAATCATATAGAAGAACATGTAAAAATCCATAATCCCACCAACTAGAAATAATTACTATTGGTATTATGTAGCTTACCAGACTAAAAATACTATAAACACTTTAAAAACAAAATTGTGATCACACAGAAAAACAAATTTGCAATCTATATTTTAATTATATCAACGTCATGAATAGTTTTGCATACTGGATTTGCAAATTGTTCTACAACATAACTTTTTTTTTAATAGAGACGAGGGTTTCACCATGTTGGTCAAGCTGGTCTCGAACTCCCAACCTGAGGTGATCTGCCCTTCTCAGCTTCCCAAAGTGCTGGGATTGCAAGCATGAGCCACCATGCCCGGCCTACAACATGACTTTTAATTAATTAATTTATTTTTGAGATAGAATCTCCTATGCCAGGGTGGAGCGCTGTGGCAAAATCACTGTTTACTGCAGCCTCAACCTCCCAGGCTCAAGTGATTGTCCCACCTCAGCCTCAGGCAGCTGGGACTACAGGTGCATGCCACCACCCCTGGATAGTTTTTTGCAATTTTTGTAGAGACAAGATTTCACCATGTTTCCCAGCAAAGATCTTACACATAAAATTTGTGTACATTTCTGATTACAACTTTAAGATAAATTACTAATGGAATTATTAGGCCAAGGTATATTAACATTAAAGATATTAAAATATTGATTCCTCCAAAAGATTACACAAAATTCACTCCTGCTTGCAAAGTCCAAATATACCTATTTCTTGTCCCACTTCGAGGATTTGATAGCTTGTTAAGAAGTAACTTTGTATTTGGGTTCAGAGATTTTGACCTACTCTACCTGAAATCAGATAAATGTACAATAGTATTTTCTTCTTGTTCAATTTTATTTTCACCTCTCTGGAAAAAAAATTGATGTGTAATGATGCGAACGTCAGTAGGAACCTTTGTTCATTCCCTCACTGGTTTGACATAACTCCTCCCCCTCGATCTGTTTCTAGTTTGTTTCTGTTTGTTTGTTTGTTTGTTTGTCTTTTAGTGGCATTGACTTATTTGTGTGCAAAAACTACTATATTCGTCATGGAGAAGTCAAAATATCTGGCAGTATAGTCGCCTCATCCCCTTCAGTCTTCTTTTTGGAAAGAATAAAATAAAAACAGAAAATTACAGAGAATATTCTGATACCACCTACTACATATTATTAAACGTTAATATTTTAATGCAGTCACTTCAGACATGTTTCTTAGGAAAAGAAATAAAATACAACAGATGGATTCAAAGTCCCTTAGTCACAGTCTTCCCACTCACTCACTCCCCTTCCTCCCACCCTAGAAGTAACCACCAACACGAACTTGGCATGGAAACTTCCAGGCCATGTTTGAAATCTTTAACTTCATATATATCTGCCCATAAATATTATATTGTTTTGTGAGTTTTCACTTACATGAATAACCTAGATGAATTTTAGAATCATGCCAAAATCCCTGTGGACTTTTCTTCTGGATTTTTATTGGAGAGGCATTAAAGGAATCTATTACTTTGGAGAGAATTGACATCTTTACATTATTAGTTTTTCCCTCTAAGGACTAAAGTATGTTTTTCATTTATTCAAGCCTCCACTACGTCCCTTTCTAAAACACTGTCATTTTCTTCTTGTAGGTCCGGCACGTTTCTTGCTAAGCTCTGTCTTTTTCCGTTTGCTTCGTTCCAGGGCCCAGTGTTTATTGCTAACTTACTTCTAGATAATTTATGATTTGTGTTGATACTGAGAATAGGATTTTATTTTTGCATTATAATTTCTAACTCATCATTACTGAGAAAAAAAAAGCTGTTAACTTTTTAAATGCTTATTTTGCAACTGGCCATATAACTGGACAGTCACTACATGTATCTAATGCTACAATTTTTCTATTGAATTTTTTGGGGTTTTCTTGGTAGACAATTAGGCATTATGTATAACATTAAAGATGTGCAAACAATGATAATTTGGTCTGCTTCCTACTGACAGTTTCACTTAATTTTTTTTTCTCATCTCTTTGAATTACCTAGGATTTCTACAACAACACATTACAATTGGGATAGAAGGTATCCTCATCTCGTTTTTTATGTTAAAAGGAGTTCCTCTAACATTTAATACTTACATAGAATGTTGATTGATGCTTAAGACAGCCTTTATTGTGGCCAGTCACAGTGGCTCACGCCTGTAATCCCAGCACTTTGGGAGGCCAAGGCGGTCAGATCATGAGGTCAAGAGATCGAGACCATCCTGGCCAACATGGTGAAACCCCATCTCTACTAAAAAATACAAAAGTTAGCTGAGTGTGGTGGCACACACCTGTAGCCCCAGCTACTTGGGAGGCTGAGGCAGGAGAATTGTTTGAACCCTGGAGGCGGAGGTGGCAGTGAGCCGAGATTGTGCCACTGCACTCCAGCCTGGCAACAGAGCAAGACTCTGTCTCAAAACAAACAAACAAACAAAGACAGTCTTTATTATGTTTTTTCTTTTAGCATAATGGACATTTTTCCCAGTCTGTAAAAATCTGCAAAACCAGTGATTTTTGAAAATTGGAACTCACTACAGTTTTTGATAGTATTTGTAAAATTGAAGATTCAGCCCTCGACATTAGTGTCTTTGGTTAATCATACTGGAAGGAGTGTTAGGCTACTCCTGATTCTGGCTTTAAAATGAGCTGACAGTTTTATTTCGATCAAATCCTTTCACCTCTCTGGGCCTCAGTTTTCTCCTTGTAAAATGAAGGGTTAAGATAATCACTGAAAATTTATTTCAACAGGTTAAGAATGCACGCCCTATTTTAACAAAAACTTATTATTTTTAGTCAAACAGTGTTTCAAAGGCAGCCACGCCTAATACATTCACAGGGCTGAGGAAGACTGAAAGTGGCTGGGTGCTGTGGCTCACGCCTATAATCCCAGCATTCTGGCAGGCAGAGGCAGGTGGATCACTTGAGCTCAGGAGTTCAAGATCAGCCTGAGCAACATGGCGAAACCCCATCTCTACAAAAAATACAAAATTAGCTGTAGTGGCATGTGCCTGTAGTCCCAGCTACTCAGGAAGGTGAGGCGGGAGGGTCTCTTGAGCCTGAGAGGTAGAGGTCGTAGTGAGCTGAGATGGCACCACTGTACTCTAGTGTGGTCAACAGGGAGATCCTCTTTCAAAAAAAAAAAAAAAAGAAGATTGAAAGTTTAGGTTTAATACATAGAAAAATGAACCGAAAACAAGTTCAAGATAAGTGGACTGTGAAACCTGCATGAAGTTCATGGCTGAAGTTTTAAAAATAATAACTACTACCTATTGAGTATTCATGATATCCCATGGATTGTGTTTTGCTTACAATATAAACTACTAATTGTTTATAACAGCTCTATAAAGTAGGCAACATCAGTTTTCCCATTAGAGACGAGGAAACTGAGTCATTGTGGGGTAAGAACGCTGTAGATTCTCTTACTCAAAGCCCATTCCAGCCTCCATCTGGTGTGTTTCCTTCCTGTGTTGGAGCACCTGAAAAGCTCAAGTCCAGACACCCCAGAGTTTCGTGTAGATAGCATTCCTGATGTGTGATTTAGGTTGCATCAATAAGCTTCGTTGGCCAGAGACTTGATTTTGAGATAGAGCTAGGCAGAGAGAAGTGGCATGCAAGACTCTGCTTTGCAGATTCTCGTCGTGCAGTTCTAGGGCCTACAGTTCTGGGAGTGGCTTTCTAATCTACAGATCACAGTCAAGCAGGGGACCTGGACCCAGTGGCTGGAATAGCAGCTCTCTGAGTCCTCAGAATGAGATGGAGACGGTGGTCCATACATAGGCCAATTCTATCATGTCTTTCTGGAAGTCATTCACAGAGGCCCACCTATGGCCTATTCTTCCAGCCTTTCCAGCAATGTTGTAAGCACCAAGAGTCCTTCTGAAATCCCTTTCTGCTTGAAGTATCTAAAGTGGTTTCTATTATCTGCACTTGAACTCAGATAATTATAAGAGATGCAAACTTTCTTTTCTCACATGCCCCATTCAGCTAAAATGACCCATCACATAGTATAATGAACCAGGGATTAGATTTGGATCAGGTGCCCTGGCTTCTTAATCCCATTTATTATTTAATAGCTACATGACTTTGGGCTAATTTCTTTACCCTTCTGGGACTCAATTTTCTCTCTTTGACATGAAGAAATACAGTGTCTCTTCCGGCGCTAACATTCTATGATTATCATCGACACAGAAGAAAATGTAACACACTCAATGCAGATTTCCTGCTCAGCAGTTCCTAGTAAGCCAACGACACACCTGAAACGAGCACAGCTATTTCCAAGTCTTGGCTCTTCTTGGTTTCGCGCATTTGGCAGAATGCTCTGCGGTGGGCATGGAATCCAGACCCCTTCCCAGGTAGGGACTTGAACCACTGCAGTGTCACCCTGGGGGGCGGGATATGACACGAGCAGGACATAGCATCATTAGGAAGTCACTGAGCAGGCAAGCAGAGGGTTACAAAGCCTGTGGCTGCTACAGATCAACCCAAGCAAGAGGTCAGGAAACTGGAAAATCAGGACGGGACCACGGAGAATTCTGGGGGCAGAGGTCAGTCACAAGTCAGGGACAGAAGTCAGGAAGTCTAGCCTGAGGCCAAGGAATCTATCGTTCACAAAATTCTGGTCAAACAAGGAGACAGGGATGTGGACAGGCACTTGGGCCTTACTAGAGAGGACTCAGAAGTCAGAGTGCAGGTACCAGGTTACCTCATCCACTCTCTCCCTGTCTACTCAGATTCAACTAACTCAGCACTGGGGCCACAGACCTTTGCCTGGTGTGAAAGGAAACTCAGAAACTATTGTTGCATCAAATTGATTTGAATGAGTTAAGATCTCAGGGATCATGACATAGAGTAAACCTGGTCCCAGAACAGATGTTTCCAGCCCCCACAATAGGCAGTAAGTGTTTTCAGAAGTGAGCAAATCGGTGGCGTTTGGCTAGAATGTCTGGCTGACTGAGGACAAGATACTGAAGTGCAGTCAAATTCTGGCAATTGTCTGGGGGTGGGGGAGGGGAGGAAGGGAACTGGATGGGCTGGTGGGTGCTCTGGCCATAGGAAGGTGGTCTTCTAGTGCCCCACCATCTTTCAGGAGGAATGAAGACATATTCTAACATTAAGAATGCCTTCTTATAGTTTCCTATCTTCATATGTACAGTTCTCTATCAACTTAAGCCCACAACTCCAAATACTACCCTTTTCTATATCTGCCTTCAGATCCTTCAGAAAGGGTCTATCTTTCTATACACCCCTTAGAAAGATATAGATGTAGAAAGGGTATATTTATCTTATAAATCCATAATAAGATACCAATGATTAAAATAACATAATTTGTTTCCCTTCCCATAGGTTGTTGGGTTTCTATGGGCAAGGTAACGATGATGAATTTAGAACCGTCAGGGAAATGCTATGGAACAGGAACAGGCTGATAGACTCTTGTCCTGAGGGATGCACAATCTTCATTATTCATAGATGTCATATTTGTGAATTCGCCTACTTCCTCAAATGTAGTGGTATCTGCAAAACCAACACTTGGAGGGATTTTTCCATCATTCGCAGAAATGTACTGAGACAAAAAACTCGAGTTGCCCAATGGGAATGTTCCCAGATGAGGTTAAACAAGGCAACACTTTGCCTTCTTGTTTCAGCTCCTACTGCAAACAAGTGTGCTTTTCTAGGTCTACATAGTGTCACATTTTCCCCATCTTTGTGCTTCTTGTTAGTTTCACTGCATAAAATGGTCCCCGCTATAGTGTATAGCTGCAATGCTGCCTGGCGTTCCTGATGGAAAGGAGACAGTGACATGCCTTCTGGAGGAAATACAAAGTACGTGTATTAGAGAAGCTTAGGTCAAGTGTGGTTATAGTGCTATCGGCCGTGAGTTCAACATTAATGAATCCATAATATATATTAAATAAGGAGGGCTGGGTACAGTGGTTCATGCCTGTAATCCCAGCACTTTGGAATGCAAGGTGTACGGATCACCTGAGGTCAGGAGTTTATGACCAGCCTGGCCAAAATGGAGAAACCCCATCTCTACTAAAAATACAAAAATTAGCCGAGTGTGGTGACAGACACCTGTAATCCCAGCTACTCAGGAGGCTGAGGCAGGAGAATCACTTGAACCTGGGAGGCAGAGGTTGCAGTGAGCCAGGATTGTGCCACTGCACTCCAACCAAGGGGACAAGAGCAAAATTCCATCTCAAAAAAATAAATAAATAAGGTGTCTTTAAACAGAAACACACACAAAACTAGGTTATGTATTGATCCATTGATGAAAATGCTGTGACCAGAGGCTTGAGGAACCTGACCCTCTATTTCCCCAGAAGTAATGATTCCCTACTTTTTAATTCAGTATTCACAGAGACGCTACAGAACCCAACTACCTGAGTGACAAGAACGGACTGTTCTTGGTCTCCAACCAGTGACTTGCTCATTCTAATGCCGTTCCTAAGAAACGCTCAAAGGGGCCCCTTGCATAACTGCTGCAAAGAATTGCCATGAAAATATTCGGAAACATTTTTCAAAATTTTTACTTCTTAACTTTTTATGGGCATGGTCCAAAATTCTCACTGACAAGCCGTGAATGGGATGGCCCGTTTAGGATTAGACATGCTGTTCCGGAAACTGAGATAAAAGCAGCTCTGTAGTAATTCTTTCTAAACTGTTTTTTTAATTAGTTTATTTACTTATTTATTTTTTTGAGATGGAGTTTCGCTCTTGTTGCCCAGGCTGGAGTGCAATGGCATGATCTTGGCTCACTACAACCTCTGCTTCCCCAGTTCAAGCAATTCTCCTGCCTCAGCATCCCGAGTAGCTGGGATTACAGGCATGTGCCCCCATGCCCAGCTAATTTTGTATCTTTAGTGGAGATGGGGTTTCTCCTAATTGGTAAGGCTGGTCTTGAACTACTGACCTCAGGTGATCCACCCACCTTGGCCTCCCAAAATGCTGGGATTACAGGCATGAGCCACCATGCCCCCAGCCTTGCTGTGTTTATTTTTAAGCAATAGTACCAGATAGGTCGCTTCTCAAAATTGTTAGCACAAATGTTAGCTGAAAGTTTTGCTTTCCTGGAAGGAAAGCATTTCAATGTGACACAGAGTTCATTTCTCCTGTATTTTTCTTTTCAGCTGAGTGTCGCAAATTTCTTTTCTTTACATTAAAATTCATGAGATTCTTAAGAAGAAGGCTCCCTCCCATCATTCTCTGCTCCCCAGGCTCGTAAATGCCATGTATTCTGAACACCACATCTCGGACACACATCTCTCACAGAAAAGAGCTGAAAGGCCTCTCAGTAAGGCCTTCCCCAGCTGAGGGGCCCTCTCAGCCTGGCCTCCCTCAGGGCCTTCCCAGAGCCTCTGCAGCTCCAAGCACAGCGATCTGTGTGGCTGAGCACAGGGAGGAATTTGTAGCTGGGGACTGGGGTCACGCGCCTTCCGCTTTTCTACTTAGTGACACGCTTTCTCACACAGGGGTCAAGAGTTAGGGCCTCACCAGTACATCCTTCAAGATGAGCTGCTAGAAATGTTTTCTTAATAAGAGTCCTTTTCTTTTCCCTTGAGACATGAGGGTTTGAACCCCAGACCTTTCAATCCCTCGACAGAAGCTATAAACCACAAATGTGCTCCATGTTGAAAGGACATGCAAGTGACCAGCACTCTCTTCTGCTTTCTGCCCCCCGCACTCCCCGCCTGTCGGATGTGCTGACAGAACTCTCTTCTCCTCAGCCGACTGCTCGGGCAGTCTGCCCACTCTGGTGGGGAAGGAAAAGGGGAAACACTTTCTGTGCCCCCAGGGGGCCATCAGGACCAAATGAGCTCTGGCCTGTCATCTCTAGCGGGCCTTTTCCCAGCCCCTCTGCCCGCCCGGCCCTGGACATGCGCATCATTCTCCGCTTGTTTGCGGATGACCTGCCTTTTTAACACATCCCCTAAGAGGTCTGACTGAGAAGTCACATTTGGCCTGTTGCCGTGAGGCAGAAAAACCCAGCTGCTGCTCTGCAGGGAGAACAGGAAAAGCGGCCCAGCTCTGGAGCCACGGATGAACCCGAGCGCACACACACTTGGGCTTGCCCCCAAAGCCAACTGGTGTAGATGAATTTGAAATGTTGGAAGATATCACAGTGCAGATTTTCTTCTTCTTTCTAAAAATTGTTTTTGCAAATATTTTTAGCACGTGTGAAAATGTGTGTGTGTGTGGTGTGTGTGTGTGTGTGTGTGTGTGTGTGTGTATGTATTGGGATTTCAGGAATTTTTTTTTAATTTATTTTTTTGAGATAGAGTCTCTCTCCATGTCCCAGGCTGGAGTGCAGTGGCGTGATCCCAGCTCACTGCAACCTCTGCCTCCTGGGTTCAAGTGATTCTCCTGCCTTAGCCTCCAGAGTAGCTGGGATTACAGGCACATATCACCACATCCAGCCAATTTTTGTATTTTTCGTAGAGACAGGTTTTCACCATGTTGGCCAGGCCGGTCTCGATCTCCTGGCCTCAAGTGATCTGCCCACCTGGGCCTCCCAAAGTGCTGAGATTACAGACGTGAGCCTAGTGGGGGTTTTCTTTATTAAAAACAAAACAAAAAACCTGTCTGGGGGTGGCGGCTAGGGAAGGGATAGCAGGGGGTGGGGGAAAGGGGACGGATAGTATTAGGAGAAATACCTAACGCAGATGACAGGTTGATGGGTGCAGCAAACCACCATGGAATGTGTATACCTATGTAACAAACCTGCATATTCTGCACATGCATCCAGTATATATATACACACACACATATATATTTTAAGGCCTGAAGAAAATGCAGGAGGGTAAATAGAGATGAAGATGAGGCCAGGTACTCAGCTAGGCAGGTGAGGCAATTTTTGACCTCCAGTGCTCAGTCCTCCTACTGTCTTGATTGGCACTGGACAACAAGGGAGGGTGGCTCAGAGCAGTGAGGGCCTGAGCAGGAGCCTTGAGCGCTGTGTTCCTGGATCTGAAGTCCTGAGCTCGAGCCTTCACCCACACCCAGCCCCTGCACTGACTGTACCCTAATTTACCTCTTACTCTCCCAGCTCTCTGCAGCTTGTTCTTCCCAGTACAAGCTGAAGGTGCCTGTGACCAGGGGTGTCCCAGATGTCACGGGGACCCATAGGTGTGGCTGGATCAGAGATGACAGAACGGCAGTCTCTGTGGTGGCATCTCAGGCATGAAGAAGGTTCCCAGTTCTCTCCTGGGTCCTGCTCAGGTTCCCACCACCTGAAATTCTCTCCTCACAACCTCTGTCTTGTGACTCAAACTTAAAAGAATTTGTCTTCTCAAAAAATGCAAATGTCCTCAGGGTGAGATAGCACTTGAAAAATGATGATGATGGAGATCTTATCATCCAAACGCCAAATCAGAGTAATTTATAAAATACGTTTCCTATCTGTTTTCATTGGATGAATTTGATTTTCTAGAATTTGTTTCTATTATCAAAACAAGTCATAAATGTCATTTAAATTTTTAAATAAAACAAAACTATAAAGGTAAATCTACCCCTAGCTGCACATCATTTCTTTGGCATCTACTTCACAAGAAGTATATCCATGGTTAACAACGCGTGGTTGTCCTTCTAGGTGTTTCTCTGTGTGCTTGTGTGTGAGTGTGTGTGTGTGGTGATGTTGTTTTAACAAAAATGGCATTCCACATTACATACTGCTGTGTTATTTGGGTGGTTCCCCCCACACACAAACTGGGTGCATTAGAAACATCTTTCTAGGAAGAACTTCTTTTTCAATCTATAAATATTACTTGAAAAATCTTCAAAAGTTACATTTTATTCTATATATTTAAAAGATCATGAGTTTTTTTCTTGTTTTTGTTTTCATTCTTGGCCTTATTAAACAGAATAAAATGATAAGAAACATGAAATTGTCTAGGGCAGTGCTGTCCATTCAGGCTTTGTGCGATGCTGAAGATGCTCTGCACCTGCACTGCCCAATACAGTAGCTGGTAGCCACTTGTGGCTGCTGGATACTTGAAATGTGATCAGTGTGACTGAGCAACTGACTGTTCAGTTTGCTTAATTTTAATTGTTAGATGCGACTTTCAATAGCTGCATGTGATTAGTGACTACTGTATTGGACAGTGTATTTTTCGGACGAATTGATCATCCACTCCCAAAGGAGTTATAAAAGACACTTTGAAGCCAGATTTCCTGTATTTGAACCCTAATTCCTTCTACCTAATTCTATCCAGCTGTGTGACATTGGATAACAATAGAAACACTATTGGGTTGTTAAAAGAATTCAGTGAGTTAATACTTGCAAAGCAATTGAACCAGTGCTTGAACATGCCGTTAGAGCTCAATACGTATTAGGTGTAGAATTCTTTCCTGAGACTAGGAATAGAGGGGAAAGAAAACTTTGGGTCGGGAAGGGGAGGAGGATAGAGAAAGGAAGTAATGAGTGAATAAAAGGGTGCTTTATTCCCACAGTAAAGGTGAGACAGAGTGCTACCAAACCACAGTAATCTCTCAATGTTGCATAGATCTTACCTTGATCACAGTCTTACAAAGATGGGGGAGGCAAAATTATTGCCTGGAAAGTGAATTTCTTCAGCCTTTTATTAATTTCCTCTTTTCAGCTCTTTATTAAATTATGATAGGGTTGTGAGCAGCTCTGCAGGGCGCCTCCCCTGCAGACCTGCTTGAACCCTGCCTGGGGCCAGGCCAGACAAAGCCCTGCTCAGGACAGCCGCTGTCTTCAGCCTCTAAGCCCAGGTGGCTGCACAGGCCTCCCAGAGCCTGTGGCAAACAGCAGGCACAGTGTCTCCAGCCCCTGGGGCAGTCCCTGTCCTGCAGCTGTTTTGAAGGCTAATCCCACCAAAGGGTGAGAAAGAAGAATCTAACTTTGTCACAGAAGCAGGACCCTCCTTCCCAAGGAAAAGTGGAGTCTGTGTAGTTTGACTAAGTTGATGAATTGAAGCAAGTATTTTCCTCTTGGGCTGCTTAAGAGGGTTTAGTGATTCAGACTGCAAGCCCCTCCCGCTACACACACACACCACCCCCATGCCTAGGCTGTCTGGAATGTGTTTCTCCAGTTATTGCCACCTCCTGAGACACTACTTTGAGCAGCAAAATCAATTGACCTATTTGTCGCTCTAACCCCTGCTCACCGAGTGATTCATGAATGATTTTTGAATGAGTCCTTGAAAATCCATTTCTATCATGTACGTTCTCTGAACACTAAGCATCTTTAACATTAGGAACAGGATTTAAAGCAGGGGGGAATCCCTTGTGTTATCAGTCTTGGGTCAGCACGGATTATAAAACGCTCCCTTTTCTTAGGGAAGGGCATCAGTACTAGATTGGCCATTGGGATGCCTGGGTTCAAGCCAAGATTGACCTCCAGGGTGAGCCTCAACTTCCTTTTTTGGTAAATGTAGCAGAGACACAGGTGACCGTCAACATCCCTGAAATTATTTTTTAAGTTTATTTATTATATCTTAAGTTCTGGGGTACATGTGTAGAACGTGCAGGTTTGTTGCATAGGTATACACACGCCATGGTGGTTTGCTGCATCCATCACCCCGTCATCTACACATCCCTGAAAGTTGCACGCATTGTACACTGTCCCGAGCTCTCTGGGTTGAGAAGATCCTCCCCACCTGGCGCCATTTTCCCAGCCTGGAGGCCCTTTTCCAAGACTCGCCGGATATTGTTGCTCTTACTGCAGCTTCTGAAGAAAGGGCCAGTTATTCCAGTGGCACAACGGAAAGGTCCACAACAGTTGTCTTCTGTGGGAGCCAAACCCATCCCTCCAGGCCCTAGCTACAGTTCCGATCACCTCAGTTGCTTTTGAGGGGGGATTTTCATTGACAAACCCCATTCAGAGGCTTTTTGGAAGCCTTCTGTCCTGGTGCAATGAAGCAGGCTGCCTTTTTTTCCACTAAATGTCCCAAAGGGAAATGACATTCACCAAGAATTTGGACAAACTTGTTGAGAAGAAACAGTGTGAAAATTGCACAGATCCTTGTTACTTAAAGCATTTGAGAAGAAAACTGCAGGAAGTGGTAGATTCGGGACATAAAGGACATCATTTGCCTGCCTTATTATCTCATTTTTCAGTGGAGCTGACAGGACAGCTGCCTGTTATTACAGGGCACACCAGGAAATGTTTAGCTGCCAAACAGAAAAGAACGAGTGAGGGATTAGCAGCCCTGTTCATGCCACACAAATAGAATTCTTGCACCTGGTAGTCACGCAGTTAGATTTATCATTTCATAGGGTATGTGACTTAAATCCCATTTACAAAGAAACAAAAACAACCCCAAAAGGCACCTTAATGATATTGTAATTATGAGAAGTATTAGTAACCATTTTGCAGTTTTTAGTCTAGATTAAATTAATTGGTGGTAGTTTTCATTTAATCACACTAATCTTTTATTTGGTTTCTATAATGTCGCAAATTTACTATTCTATGTTGCAAATCTAAAGTGTTCTTAAAAATGACAGATCGATAACTGTTTAATCCTCCACAAGGCTGCTATCATTAATGATGTTGTGTAACAATAGAGATCTCTTTGCAAGGTGGCAGATCACCTACAGAAGTGATATATCGAAAAAGGAAATAATTTCCATCTCAGCTTCATTTCTAATAGTAGGGGGTAGAGGGGAGAGTCTCGGGGAGCGGACTCTTTGAGCTGCTATCAGCGATCAGAGAGGCTGCAGGGAGGATGACAGGGCTCCTAAATGGCTTTCTTGTTCCCACCCAGAGTGAATTCACTTCCCCCATGCCAAGCTCCAGTAAGGAACCTAACATGAGAAAAAGTAAGTGTAAGATCCTGTGAAAAACCACCCCTTACTATCACTGATCATGTATTTTATCAAATGAGTCTTTGAATTAATTTTTTAAAAAATTTAAAAAAACCTCTTCATGGAGCCTTGTTGCTTAAAGCATTAGGGTAGAAACTTGAGATTGTTAACTCTTCATTTTTCCTGTAGCATCTGTTATGGACTGATTGCGTGTGGCCCCTAAGATCGTAGGTTGGAACCTTAACTCCCAATGCTATGGTATTAGGAGATGGGGTAGGGTCTTTGGGAGGTGATTAGGTTATGAAAGTAGAGCCCTCATGAATGGGATTAGTGCTCTTATAAGAAGAAACACAGAGGCTTCTCTCTCTCTCTTTTCCTTTCTCTCTCACTCTCTTCTCTCCACCAGGTGAGGACACAAAGAGAAACTGCCATCTGCAAACCATGAAGCAGGCCCTCATCAGACACTGGATCTGTCTGTCCCTTGATCTTGGACCTCTGGAGGCTGGGAAGGATCTGGATTCAGATCCTTCCAAGCCTCCAAAACTGTAGAGTGAGAAACAAGTGTTTGCTGTTTCGGCCAGCCAGTCTATGGTAATTTGTCACAGCAGCTCCAACTAAGACCACATCTACTAAGGCCTCTCTGTACCAACCCTAGATATTAAAGAATGAGTCCCAGTCTGACCCGGTAGGGGCTCCTCACAGTTTGACATCACCAGCTCTTCTGGGAGGTGTCAGGAATGTCTTGTTTTTCGAGGGGAGTATTAGTTCTTCAGATGAGCGGAAGTCAAGGATACTCCAGCCAGAAAGAACCACAAAAAAGGGCATGCAAAAGGCTTGAGAGAGGAATTGTAAGTAGTCAGGTGTGACTAGAACTTGGATGGCTATGGATGAATGAAGGGAGGGGATGCTGAGCCAGCACCCAGGGCCAGAAATGCCCTTTTAAGGGATGTGGTCTTTGCCCCGCCATGTGATGGAGCGTCATGAGCAGCAGAGTAACATAGCTTGGTGATGATTGTGAAATTTACTCTAACAGCACAGTGCAGGGGAAGATGAATTTGAAAGAAAAGATGCTGAAGATGGGCTGATATAGGAGACTCTTAGGATAGTCCAAGTAAGAGATGTTCAGGTGGGATAGCAGTCAGAGTGGAGAAGAAAAAAATAGCTCCCAGAGAGCTTTGAGACATAGCTTCAACGAGACACCAATGGGACATAGGAAAGAGGGACTGGATTTTCTCCTTGGACAAATGGGTTCAGAACAGTGCCGCTAATACAGATGGGGAACTCAGTAGAAATCTAGATTCCAGAATGAGGGTAAAATGGATCTGCTGCATTTGAGCATGCCAAGTATGAGGAACTCTGGCCTATGTAGGTGGAGATGTCTGGTAGCTGAGGAGAAAGTATGAGCATTCAGGCATCAGAGACCTGGTACCTAAAGGGAGTTCAGGAAGCACGGGTTTGATAGTCCTTGTTAGAGCTCTCTTGTACTTATCTGAATAGAGACAGTGGTTGAGTCCATCAGATTCAGCAAATTCACTCGAGGACTGAGTGTGCACTGAGACTAAACACAGGCTGACTACGAGGGTTAGAGACACCACTCTAAACTTGTGCATGAAAAGAGTCAGCAAAGGGCCACTCACAGTGGCTCATGCCTGTAATCCCAGCACTTTGGGAGGCCGAGCTGGATGGATCACGGGGTTAGGAGTTCGAGACCAGCCTGGCCAATATGGTGAAACCCCGTCTCTTCTAAAAAATACGAAAACTAGTTGGGTGTGGTGGCACGCACCTATAATCCCACCTACTTGGGAGGCTGAGGAAGGAGAATCGCTCAAACATGGGAGGCGGAGGTTGCAGTGAGCTATTATGCCACTGCACTCCAGCCTGGGTGACAGAGAAATTCTCTCAAAAAAATAGAATATAAAAAGAGGAGCGAAGGACAGCAAGTGAGAGACCAGAAGCCCGAGATAATCAAGTTTTCATGAAAAAGAATGTGAGCAGCCACGTCACCTGCCAATCAGGCCATGTCCATGGGATTTGGCAATGAGGAGGTTATCGATCATCCTGGCGAGTCGTTCTCTCTCTTGAGAGTCATGAGGTGGGAGGTGGGGTGCTTGGTAGGGTAGAGTGAGGGCACTGAGTACAAGAGCAGAATTGCATTGGGATGAGGAGAGAATAGAGGGTAAGAGCATGGAGGCCGCAAACAGAGACTTGCTTTTGAAGACTGTGATAGAAAGAAACGAATATCCACAAGGAGATACAAGATTATGGGAGGATTTTTTTTAAGATGGAGAAAACCTGGACATGTGTATGAGCTACTGGGAGAGAACCAAGAGAGAGAGAGAGGTCAGGGATGGAGGAAAAGACAAATCAGAGTGCAGGTGTGGCTGCTGGCCTGTATTCCTGCCGTAAACCCTCTGTGTGGGGAAGAAGTGGCCGGGCTGGGAAGAGAGTGGCCAAAGCTCTGCGTGACTACTTCAGGCTGGCTGTACACTTTGCACATGTGGATGCTCTTCTCCCCATCACAAGGGCTCCCCTTCGTTCTCCCACCCCTATTGCCTCCAAACCTGATTCTGCACCCTCCAAGGCCCCTTAAGTGCCCTTTTCTCTGAAGACCTTCTAATTCCTCAGCTGTGAGTGATATGTCCCTTATCAGAACCTGGGCACTTCCTCTGTTTTTTCCCTCATAGGCCAAAATGCTCTATCTCGTATTATTATGTGAAATCAGGGCATAACCCCATTATTAGATGTTTAGCTCTTTGAGGAAAGGAACATGGTCCTAAATAATTTCATGCCTCCCATATCCACCCACATAACCCAGAACAGTGTGTTACACATGCTAAATATTCAATAACGTTCTCTAAAAGGACAAATGCATGACCTGAAGCTAATTTTAATTTCCTGCTGGCTGCAATCACTTCTGGAACACTTCTTGCCATCATCAATTTCTATTTTCTAAAAATATAAATGATTTTCATTTTAGCTGGGATGAAATGTGTTGGAAAGATAAATCTACTGTAATCAGTCAGCTATAAAAATATTTAAATTATTTCTGCCACCCAAGGTAAGTTATATAATATCATGGAGTACGTTTTCTTGATCAGTAAAGTAGAACTAATAATACTACCTACTGTATGAGGTTGTTTCCATCATTAAATGAAATAATATATATACAGTGCTTAGCACAGGCCTGGCGTATAGTAAATGCTTAATGAATAACAGACATTAATAATAATAGTTACTAGTCAGCTAGATAATCTCTGAGACCTATTCCAATTAAGTTCATAATTTTCTCTCCATTAGTGCAGACAATTAAGAATAGACTTTAGTCTCTCCTTCTGCCGCCCAAGAGGCTGAAAGAAAACAAGGCCAAGGGGAAGAAGGTGGCTCTGGCCCCTGCTGTTATGAAGAAGCAGGAGGCCAAGAAAGTGGTGAATCCCCTCCCTGTTTGAGAAAAGCCCTAAGAATTTTGGCATTGGACAGGACATCCAGCCCAAAAGAAACCTCACCCGCTTTGCGAAATGGCCCTGCTATGTCAGGTTGCAGCGGCAGAGAGCCATTGTCTATTAGCGGCTAAAAGTGCCTCCTGTAATTGACCATTTCACCCAGGCCCTGGACTGCCAAACAGCTACTCAGCTACTTAAGCTGGCCCACAAGTACAGACCAGAGACAAAGCAAGAGAAAAGTCAGAGGCTGTTGGCCCGGGCCAGGAAGAAAGCTGCTGACAAAGGGGACCTCCCCACTAAGAGACCACCTGTCCTTCGAGCAGGAGTTAACACCGTCACCACCTTGGTGGAGAACAAGAAAGCTGAGCTGGTGGTGATTGCACACAACTTGGATCTCATCAAGCTGGGTGTCTTCCTGCCTGCCCTGTGTCATAAAAGGGTAGTCCGTTACTGTATTATCAAGGGGAGGGCAAGACTGGGACATCTAGTCCACAGGAAGACCTGCACCACTGTCGCCTTCACACAGGTTAACTCGGAAGACAAAGGCACTTTGGCTAAGCTGGTGGAAGCTATCAGGACCAATCACAATGACAGATACGATGAGATCTGCCATCAATGGGGAGGCAATGTCCTGGGTCCCAAGTCTGTGGCTCACATTGCCTAGCTCAAAAAGGCAAAGGGTAAAGAACTTGCCACAAAACTGGGTTAAATGTACACTGTTGAGTTTTCTGTACATAAAAATAACTTAAACAATACAAATTTTCCTTCAAAAAAAAAATAGACTTTATATATAAAATATACACATATTGGCTAGGCATGGTGGCTCACATCTGTAATCCCAGCACTTTGGGAGACCAAGGCGGGCAGATCACCTGAGTTTGGGAGTTCAAGACCAGCGTGACAAGCATGGAGAAACCCCATCTCTACTAAAAATACAAAATTAGCCAGTAATGCTGGCACATGCTTCTTGGGAGGCTGAAGCAGGAGAATCGCTTAAACCCAGGAGGCAGAAGTTGCGGTGAACCGAGATAATGCCATTGCACTTCAGCCTGTGCAACAAGAGCGAAACTCCATCTCAAAAAAAAATATGTGTGTGTGTGTGTGTGTGTGCACGCGTGCACATATTTAATAGTACACCATAGTCATGACAGTAGGCTTAATTCTACATTTAAATTTTTTGTTTTTTTGAGATAGGGTCTTGCTTTGTCACCCAGAGCTGGAGTGCAACAATCACAGCTCACTGCATCCTGGAACTCCTGGGCTCAAATAATTCTTCCACCTCAGCCTCTCAGGTAGCTCGGACCACAGACACATGCCACCATGCCCGGTTAATTCTTGCATTTTTTGTAGAGATGGGTTTTCTTCATGTTGCCCAAGCTGGTCTCTAACTCCCGGGCTCAGGTAATCCTCCCACCTTAGCCTCCCAAAGTGCTGGGACAACAGGCAGGAGCCACTGCATCCAGTCCCTACATTTAAAATTTAAAGTAGGAGAAAAAAAAAAAAAACCTCAGAACTTGAAACAAACTGAGAACATAGCACTTCATGTTCCTCTCTGTAAACATTTCTAATGTGATCAGTGGCTATGACAGCTCATTCATTTCTTCATTCCACAAATATGTTTTGAGCACTTAGGACGTGCAGGTTTCTCTGGAAGAAGCCACAGGGGAATACAAGGATGAATACAACCCAGGCTTTGCTCTGAGGCAGTCTGAGGTGGGAGGAAGATAAATCAGTACACACAAAACCCAGCATTACGAGATATGACAAGGTACTGAAGAAGACAAGCTGCAGGAAGGAAAGCCTTCAGGAAGAAGGGGAGGGGCTAAGAACATTACCTTGCACCAAACACATCAATTTAGAAACAAAAGCCTTAAGACCTGGCCTTTTGGAAGAAACGTGCTCTTTGTATGAGCCTCCTTCTCTCCTTATCTCAAATTCTTCACAAAGGCGAGGAAAGGGGCCGACTTGTCAACATTAAGCACCCAGTGGGGCATCAGTAGACCAGTTGCACAGGGATTTCTATTATTAAATCAGCTGGATTATACTGCCCTTGGGGGCAAAGCAAATTCTATAGGAAAGGTTGGTGAATCTTTTTTTTTTTCTCTCTTTTTAAGACCTCAGAAGAGCTAACAGAATCAAAATCCTCTGTCTGAAGAGAGGTCATTTTTGGCAGTCTATGGAAGCCCAAGTCTTCCTTCAATTCAGGTGTCTGGCTGGCTCCCCATCATCGGAAAAGCAGCCTCATGCTGCACAGAAAATATACGCCTCGAAAACTGAGCATTGTTTTAAAAATAGAATTTCCAAGCCATTTGCAATTTGTAAAATAGACTTGAGCTCTTTTGGGGAGGGGAAAGTGAGCAAATTGTTGAGACTCTAATTGATACATGGATCGGCAGACGTCAGCCTGTTGGTTTATCAGGTGGCTTGTCGCTTCTGCTTGTGACAGGTTTCTGGGAGGGAAGCAGGTGGTGGCAGTGACTGGGGGGCCACTTGTGGAGTCTATTGGCCGGTTATTTACAGATCATACGTGGGAGTATTTCATGAATAACCTGAAGATTATTTCTTTGAAAGTTTTAATGCAAGAGGTTGTCCCACACTTTAAAAAATGTTCTTTGTTTTAAAATGTCTCTAAACTTACTAGATACTGATAACAATTTTAATTGTTTATTTCAATATCAATATTTGGTGTCCTTAATGGAAACTTTAGAGCATAATGAAGACTATTTGCAGATATATTTGGTTTTTAATTAATATAAAATTAAAGAAACAAATTTTAATTCTAAAATCTAGTTTTCTTAAACCTTAAAGTTCAACATAGAAATCTTATTACTCCATTTATAAATTGAGTAAAGTTTATAAGCATCAATTTCAAGGAAATTAAAGCTCTGTCAACTAAAGCTGGAGGAACTAACTTTCCCAACCACTTTCATTTACATATTGAGTTAATTAAATTCCGTTAAAAATTTCAAACTGCATTTACATACTTCATATACTGGATTCTTTCAGCACTTCAAATGCTTCTACCAAGCAAAATGTTCTCAAATACATGACTCTAGCAAAATGAAACCATAGTAATGGTTTAGAGCTTTAACCAAAAGGTGTTTAAAGGCGTCCTTATGCCTTTCAACTAAAAACTACAAATTAGACTCCTTAAATTGGGATGATAATTCCCTAAAAGGTCAAATCCTCCTTACAAATATTTGAAATACCAAACAAACATACATTATCCTCAAGATCATAAAAATCTCCTCCTGACTTTACATAAATGCTAACCCTATAGGTCTGATTTCCTTTCTACCGCTCTACTTTAAACCTTAACAAAATTAAAAGACTGATTAAGAAAATAGCTACACCACCCCAACAAAAGGAGGTCACTGCTTTAGTGAAACAAGCATCCATATTGCCCAGAGGTTTAGCTGAGGTATAAGATTTTATATTCTCCATGGAGATGGCCTGCAACATAGTGAGCTCTTTTTATAGTTGCCACAGCAACAATGACTCCAAGTCCATGCCCTTTAGACATCACTGGTTTTTCCTGGTTTCAAGATACAACCTCACCTGGTCTATCTACAACCCACACCCTGCACCAGTTTGCTTACCACTTTATTCACAAGAATAAAGAATTTAAATGCTTGATTTCATTCTGAATGTTTTTCTTTTTATTCCATTCTGACTCATAAATATGTAAATGAGATCCTATACAATTCTGCATATCTCTCATTATTGCTCAAAATGATGGCCTCAAACCGAGCTGGTCCCCTTCACGTGACCCACCCTGTCTCACAACATGAGAGAAGGTTGACACATGTTCTCTTCCTTTTCCCATGAGGTCCAGCTCGTGTGTAAGTCTCTTAGGTTGTTCCAAAAGGGACTGACCCAAGTTCCGACACAGTAGTTCCGGTGAGGTGTGGAGAGGAGCTCTCCTTATGAGACTGCCTCTCAAACTCTAAGGTACATTTGTACCACTGAGATTTCATTCAAGCACAGGTTCTGATGCAGTAGGCCTGGCCTGGGGCCCAAGACTCTTCCTCCCTGTGGTGACCCCAATCTGTTGGTCTTCAGACCACACACTGAATAGCAAGACTGCATAGTTGATGGTATGTGAGCTGCAGGATCAACCTGGCGCCTCGTTTCTATAAATCATGCACAGCGGCCATCTTGTTTCCCTTTACTAAAGTCCTTCCGTATCTTTTGTCAATCATTGGTCCTCAGCTCACATTTTTAATAAAAAAAATATACATTGGTATAAAATACACATAACATGAAATTAACCATTTTATTTATTTATCTTATAATTTCAACTTTTAGATACAGGGGGTGTAAGTCCAGGTTTGTTAAATGGGTATATTGCATGATGCTGTGTCTGGGGTACAGATCCCATCACCCTGGTACTAAGCATAGTACCTAAGAGGTACCTGATAGGTACACTCCCCTCCTTCTCTTCCCTCCAGTGGTCCACAGGGTCTATTGTTCCCAGCTTTATGTCCATGAGTATCCAATGTTTAGCTCCCACATATAAGTGAGAACAGGAGGTATTTGGTTTTCTGTTCCTGCATTAATTTATCTGAGATTATGGCCTCCAGCTGCATCCATGTTCCTGCAGAGGACATGATTTTTTCTTTCTAATGGCTGCATAGTATTCTGTGGTGTATATGTACCACATTTTCTTTATCTAGTCCACTGCTGATGGGCACTTAGGTTGATTCCGTGTCTTTACTACTGTGAATAGAGCTGTAATGGACATACAAGTACATGTGTCTTTTTGGTAGAATGATTTGTTTTCTTTGGAGCACATTTCCAGCAATGGGATTGCTGGGTTGAATGGTAGCTCTGTTTTAAGTTCTTTGTGAAATCTTCAAACTGCTTTCCACAGTGGCTGAATTAATTAACATTCTTACCAACAATATGTAAGTGTTCCCTTTTCTTCACAGCCTCACCAGCATCTGTTACTATTTGACTTTTTAATAATAGCTATTCTCTGTAGTGAGCCCAGATTGTGACATGCACTCCAGCCTGTATGAGAAAGACCCTGAGTCAGAAATAATAATAATAATAATAATGGCCATTCTGACTGCTGTGAGATAGTATCTTATTGTGATTTTTATTTCTCAGCTCATTTTTTCACATGCATTCTCTCTCTCTCTCTCTCTCTCTCTCTCACACACACACACACACACACACAACAGGTCCTTTTCCTAACCCTTTCAAACCTGCTAGTGAGACTCTAATGGTTTAGTCACTTGAAAAGTACTCTCTATGCAGATTTGAATAGAAGGCTATAGAGAAAGAACATTGGAATAATGATATGGGGGTTTGGCTGTGTCCCCACCCAAATCTCATCTTAAATGGTAGTTCCCATAATCCCCACATATCGTGGAAAGGACCCAGTGTGAGGTAATTAAATTATGGGGGCAGTTATCTCCAGGCTGCTCTCATGATAGTGAGTTCTCATGAGATCTGATGGCTTTATAAGGGGATTTTCCCCACCTTCCCTCAGCACTTCTCCTTCCTGCGGTCATGTGAAGAAGGATGGGTTTGCTTCCCCTTCCATCAAAATTGTAAGCTTCCTAAGGCCTCTCCACCCCTGCGGAATTGTGAGTCAATTAAATTTATTTTCCTTATAAATTATCAGTCTCTGGTATGTCTTTACCAGCAATGTGAGAACAGACTAATACATACACTAAACACAAACTTCAGCTATGTATTAATAATAATGACCACTTATTATGTGCTGATTACAGGTTTGTCACAAGAAATATTTATCTCATATAATCCGAT